TTTTTTATTTTTGTGTCTAAGAAATATTTAATATATCAGATATTTGTATGCAGTTCAATCAATCAATAAAATAAAATAAGTATTAAAAAATATTCGATTCGATTCGATATTCGATAGATTTGTATTTAAAAAAAGCAGAATTACCTCATTATATACACTTTTGTAAGAACATCATCATCATCCTAGAGGGACCGACAGCTAAGCAAATGCCTCTTCTCACACAGAGAAGTAATAGGTACCCCACGAAAAATTATATTATACATACAAAAGCCATTTTGACAGTTAAGTATGTGTGTCAAGATTCCCGCCAAAATGTTTCGGATACAATAAAACAATAGCTTCGTGAATGGCAACCAGTGTTGCCCTTTTTAAAAAGACATTTCGATTTGACGTTTGAATTGTTTGCCGCGTAAAATAATAATGTCGTGAATCATTCGGTTTTAGACAAATATTTTGGGACCGGCATTGTTTTGATGCATTAAGTGATAGTTAAATAACTGTTGATAGGTATTTGATTAAAGGAACGTGGTGGCACGAAGGTTAAACGCTTCTCATGCATGAGGTGGGTTTAAAACCTGGCAAGTACCAATGTGACTTTTCCGAGTTATATGTACTTTCTATGACTAATTCTATGACTATTTAGACACCACAGTCATACGGTGAAGGTAAACATCGTGAAGAAACTATATAGGACTTAAAATGTCTAATTATGCGCCATTTATCATGTGTTGCGCCATGTGAGTGAGGTTACCGCAGCCTCAATCCTTCCCTTCTCTAAATCAGTTCCCAATCCCAAAATCTCCAAATCCCTAATCCCCAAAAGATCGGAAACGCACTCGTAAACCTTCCGTTGTTGCGGGTGTCCACGGGCGGCGCTGATGCTTACCATCAGGTAATCCGTCTGCTCGTTTGCCGACCGATAATCACATAAAAAAATATATGGCGGCAGCCCAAACCTTCAAACCTTCAAGAAACGAGCGTACTCCTTAAAAGGCCGGCAACACGCCTGTGGCTCCTCTGGTGTTGCTGGTGTCCATGAGCGGCGCTGATTACTTACCATCAGGTGATCCGTCTGCTCGTTTGCCTCCTATTCCATAAAAAAAATAAAACAATAGCCAAGCAATACCTAGTTACAATTAAATGGAAGAAAGAAATAAATAAAATCTAATTTATTCGGCATCAGGCATGAAAGTCGGCAACAAAAAAAAAACACTAAAAGGTTTCAAAAGACAGAAAAACAAAAATAGGTAGGTACAAAGCAGGCGGATGGCTACTTTGTAATAATATATGCAAATTTTATTAAATTAATTAAATAACAATATTATAGGTAACAGTTTTTTTGTTATTAGGTAAATTAATAAATTACTGTCGACTAATAATATCGCGATTTACATAAATAATGCATTCGTTCCACGTTATTTTTTTTTTATGGGGGATGCCCGCCACAACCTTCCAAAACCGCTGCAACTCCTGTGCACCAGGATCTACAGTAGATACAACCATGAAAACATCGGAACACTGAAGTCCGGCGCGTCCCAGGGACATGAATGACTGTCTTGGATCCCGCAAGGGAATAGATTAGGGATGGGGCATCTGGTTAATTCTGGTTGTATGGAAACATTTTTTTTTTGAGAGGGGAAATAATCAAATGACTTTTCCCGCCCAGGGTGGGGCGGGAGGAAGTGTCAGAATCTTACTGACTAATTACCACACCGTCATTTCTCCTGCTCTGGGCCAAGGCCGCGGTGCCTCATTGCGCTTACCCCGCAACCCCGGCTGCACATCAGCCATATAGGGCCCCGCCTGTGATGGTCTATTGGCTCTTTAAGGCGCGCGCGGAACTCTACGCGCCGTACGCTCGGGTCGGGTTCTGGTCGGGCGGCGAGCTACCCTTATTCGCCGACCGCAGACCCGCGCTTACAGTGGTCGGAGATCATCTCTCGTGTATGGAAACATTGAAGTTTCCAAACTCTACATTTTCGAAATTTATATTAAATCTAGTAACGCGTAAACATATGGTCTGAAATAAAATAAAACGCTAAAATCTTGATGTATTCAAGAGAGATCGTTCAATGAGTAAATAAGTGAATTCGTAGGTATCGCATGGTATCTACATTAATCAATTATTTCTGACAGATCGACTTTTAAATTCTCTAGGTACCTAACTAGCTACCGCTCGCGACTTCGGACTCGTGCAAAAGTAGTGTTGCCAATTTTAAAATTGGCGGTTTGGCGATATCAAACTTAAGATTAGAAATTATAAGTCATCTCAAAAATCCAATAGACCACCACAGGCGGGGCTGATTTTAAGCCGGGGTTGCGGGGTAAGCGCAGTAAGGCACTGCGACCTCGGCCCAGAGCAGGAGAAGGAACGGGGAGGTTTTTAGTCAGTAAGACGGACGGAGGGAGTGTCACTCCCTCCCTGGAGAAGTCATTTCATGATTTTTTCCACACAAAATATATAGATGTATTGATCTTCCCCTCACAAAATATAGGTATGCAATATGCCAATTCAGACATAGTTATCGCAATCCGAAACTCTTATACATAATCCTATTAACTTGTTTACATAACAAAAAAAAACATAGGTACGTAATTGGATAAAAATATAAATTCTTCCCTAATCCCTCCCCAGTTCCTAAATCTCCAAATCCCTAATCCCTAAAAGGTCGGCAACGCACTCGTAACTCCTTCGTTGCGGGTGTCCATGGGCTGATTGCTTACCTACCATCAGGTAATCCGTGTGCTCGTTTGCCGATCTATTACATAAAAAAAAAACGAAAAGTTTACAAATAGTATTTATTTTGTTTATTTATTTTCTTTCTGTTCGTTCTGTTATTGCGTTATTCTGACATGTAAGTGTTAATTGAGAGATTAAGCATTGACCAGAGTTACTACATAACCTATTGCTACGATTTTGTAATTGTGTTTATAAAAAAAACCTAACCGGTTTTTGTTAGTTGCAAAACGTTAAGCGGTTTCTTTTAAACGTTGCCCCACACTAGGATTTTCTCCTGTGTCGTGTGTGCATTTACAAACATACAATGTCACATACACACCACACTAACACCCGGTTTCTACTAAACCGATTTTAATAAAACTTACACCCGCTTTCTGAAAGGTTTGTCAACGCTAAAATTAACTAATCTCCTGTTAAACCTCTTTTCAAGTCATCTGATTGGTTGTTGATAATTCAGTCAACCAATCAGATGACTTGACAAGAGATTAAATTGATTTTAACATTGATCGGCCTTTCGGAAACCGGGTGTCAAACTCACGGAAAAACAATTTGTGGATCTCACAAAGAGTTTTTGCACTTAATGACTGCCAGTTGTCTAGCTACTGCGCCAACCATGCAGTCATTAAATGGTTTCCACATTGCCGCCTTGGGCAGGGCAAGAGGGAATGTCAGACTCTTCATCATCCTCATCATCATTAGCCTATAAGTGCCTACTACTGAGCAAAGGCCTCTTCTCACACGGAGAAAGTTTGAGCATTAACCACTACGCTGGCTCAAGGCGGATTGGCGATTTCAAACTTATAATTAGAAATATGTGTGAGAGAGCCAAGCTTCGGCACGAATGGGTCGGCTCGACCGGAGTGATACCACGGCCTCACAGAATACCGTCGTGAAACAACCCAGCGTTGTGTTTCGCCGTGTGAGACAGGTTACCGGAGGCCCAATCCCTCCCCTTCCCCTATCCCTTCCCGATCCTTTTATCCGCAACCCCTATCCCCAAAAGGCCGGCAACGCACTCGTAACTCATTTGGTGTTGCGGGTTTCCATGGGCGGCGCCGATTGCTTACCATCAGTTAAGCAATCGGCGGATCGGATCGGATCTGCTCGTTTGCCGACTTATACCATAAAAAAATATATGTCCAGGTTTCCTCACGATGTTTACCTACACCGTTAGTCAGTGGTGTCTAAATAATCATAGAAAGTACATATAACTCGGAAAAGTCACATTGGTACTTGCCAGGTTTCGAAACCGAACCGTCATTCATTAGAAGCGGGCCTTAATCTCCGGGCCATCACGACATAATTCGTCAGACTCTTACTGACTAAAAACCACCTCGTTCCTTCTGCTCCAGGCTGAGGTCGCGGTACATTATTTAGCTTGCACCCGCAACCTCGGAGTCATCATCATCATCAGCCAGAAGACGTCCACTGCTGAACAAAAGCCTTCCCCTTAATCCTCCACGTCGAACGACAAGTTGCCACCTGCATCCATTGGCTCCCTACGACTCTGACGATGTCGTCGGTCCACCTAGAGGGAGGCCTGGCCACACTACGTTTTCCAGTCCTTGGTCGCCACTTGGGCACTTTTCGGGCCTATCGTCCGTCGATTCGAGCGACATGACCTGCCCACTGCCACTTTAGTCTGCAGATTTTACGAGCAAGAATTACTTAACTATGAGCTGATTTTTCAATAGTCAGATAAATGTTTTCTAAGGAATGCAATTGTTGCTGTCACTGTCTTATACAAACATTGTGACGCGACAGCATCATACATCACTAGCGGTGGCACGAGCGCTGGATCGCTTAATTCCCAATAATATGGTTGAGTTGGGCGAAGCTGGTGTACGTGTCATGTCCGTGAACGAGCGCCGTCAGTTGGGACTGGTCAGCTCCAGACTGTCTATTGTACTTAAGGTTACTTTATTTTTATATTTGAATAAATATTAGTGTTACACTGTTCTCACATAATTGAACCAACTGTTTGTAAAAGGAATCTGTATGTGACACTGATTTAAAAAGAGTAACCATGGAGTTTCTTGCTCGTTCTTCTCCATAGGAATCTACACTTTGGAACGAGCAAAGTGTAGATTAGCTTCACTAAGAGGACTGAGCGACAGACTGTGTGTTCAAAAGTGCCTGTTAGTGTCTAATTGGAATAAATGATTTTTGACTTTTGACTTTGACTTTGACATAATTATTCCCCAGGTAACTATATCTAACCATTGAACAATCAGCCCTAAATCACCTTTTTTTGTTTCAGATACTGACCGTCATCGCAATGACGTCCTGCCAAAAAGATGACGAGATCATCAGGCAGGACTTCGATGGTCCTCATGAGGATGGATCCTACAGATGGGCGCTGCAAACTTGTATGTTAACAAAAATATATATTTTATACTAGCGGCCCGCCCCCGCTTCGCACAGGTCTAACTATCTCGCTATCAAAGGGTCACTTTTCCCAATTTTCCCCTCTACTTTTCTAATATTTTCTTTGATAAGAACCTTCTCCTGACAATAAGAAACATAACAAAAAAAGATTTAAGTGTGGGAGAGCCATGCTTCGGCGCGAATGGGTCGGCTCGACCGGAGTTATACCACGGCCTCACAGAAAACCGGCGTGAAACAACCACAACGTTGTGTTTCGCCGTGTGAGTGAGGTTACCGGAGGCCCAATACCTTCCCAATCCCTAAATCCCCAAAATCCCAATCCCTAAAAGGTCGGCAACGCACTCCTTCTTTGTTGTGGGTGTCCATGGGCGACGCTGATTGCTTACCATCAGGTAATCCGTCTGCTCGTTTGCCGTCCTATTACATAAAAAAAAAACAAAAAAAAAAAGAATTAGCAAAATTGGTCCAGGCGTTGTTGAGTTATGCGCTTACCAACACGTTTTTCCATCCATTTTTATAGGTATATAAGATTTATTTGTGAAAAGGCTTTTAATTTTAAGGTTTTATGGTAATCCGTCTGCTCGTTTGCCGACATAAAAAACCTCAATTCCAAGATGATAATAGGCAGTGCATCAAAATCGTTGTACTTAGGTATTAGCCCGTTACGATTCCTTTATTATTATTCCTTTATTGAGCAGTACCTAACATTAGTCACACTTCGAAACAAAATGTTGTTGTTTATTATTTATACTACCTTTTTATTTTATAAGTTATTTTATATAGGTACTTACGCTGTTTCACTTCAGTTATCTGCGAAGCATATTTCTGAATCCTACTATTCAATCTTCAATTTATTCACAGCTGGAGGCATTTACCACGAGCAGAAAGGTGGATTGGAGCCCAACAGTGCTGGGGAGCCGAGCTTGTTGGTGCAAGGGCAGTACCAATACACCGCACCTGATGGCCAGGTCAGCGTCATTATACTAAAGTATTTTAGTTCCGATTTTGCAACGTACTTGTTAATAGCGCGTTGCGAAATGAGGGTAGACGGAAAAAATTAAGACGAAAAGTTCAAACGAATTTGCCATCTCTCTCTTACACACACACTTACTGTATATCTCTCTCCCGCTCGCATACACACTCTGTCTCTCTCTCCCTCTTTCATAGAACAGTCATTATCGTTCTTCGGATTTGTATTTCGCATTGAACAATGTCCCTTGTCTTCTCTCTAGATTTTTCTCCTGTGTCGTGGGTGCGTTTACAAACATACAATGTCACATAATACATCACACCCAGACTCACGGAACAGCAATTTGTGGATCACACATAGATTTGTTCCGTGCAGGAATCTCGATCAATAATTTTTATGGCACAGTTGACCCGATGCATGGCTGGGCAACTGGTTGTGGTACACGTATCGCGGGTTAGATTCCCGCACGGAACAACTCTGTGTAATCCACAAATTCTTGTTTCGAGTCTGGGTGTGATGTGTATGTGACATTGTATGTTTGTAAACGCACCCACGACACGGGAGAAAATCCTAGTGTGAATAAGTTTTCAAAATAAAATAAAAAACATAGGTAAAACAGTTTTTTCGTACTTTTATTTTTCAAGACAAAATATGTTATTTTCTATTACAGGTCATAAACGTCCTCTACACAGCTGGCGAGAACGGGTTTGAAGCCCGGGGCGATCACATACCAACCCCACCGCCGATTCCAGTCGCGATACAACGAGCTCTGGACTATTTAGCTACAAAACCGCCCTCTACCGACTATTAAAATAAACTTTCACTGATACGAAACAAACACGGAACCCTAAAACTGTCTAAATGGGATTCTGTAGTCAAAGCGGAAAACACGGGAATCCTATTGCTAAGATTTCAATGTTCGTCTTTCCGTCTGTCTGTCACCAGACTGTATCTTAGGATCCGTGATAGCTTGATAGTTGATATTTAGCCATACGAATTCCTCTTGCCATTATAATAAGAAATACTCAATCACTACACAGTATAAAACAAAGTCGCTTTCTCTGTCCCTATATCTCTATGTACGCTTAAATCTTTAAAATTACGCAACGGATTTTGATGCAGTTTTTTAATTGATGTAGTGATTGAAGAGGAAGGTTTATATGTCCATTAAATAGTGGAGAAATTTAGTACTTATCAGACCGGAGTGGTACCACGGCCTCACAAAAAACCGGCGTGAAACAACGACATGTCTTTCGCCGTGTGAATGCGTTAGTGTTCCGGTTTTAAAGTTTGAACGTGGTTCATGTAACCTGCATAATTATCTGCCTACACCTTTTTACTTATAATATTATATGCGTATGTTATTTAATAAATGGCCAGTCTATAAAAGTACAAAAATGTAAGTAAATAAAAACGTAGGTATAGTTTAGTGTACTTAGTTTTTAAGGCTTTTCTTTATACTATATAAATTGATATTAATGCCATCTTGTGAAGGAAAACGCAATCTGTGATTATAATGCTTTTCACTAGATGGCGTTGGATATGAAAAAAGGTGGTAATAAAATAAAACAATTGTAAAAAAACTTTAAGTTGGTAGTTTTATTTATAGAAAAATTATATGAAAAATGCGTCACATTAGTACAATTATTTCGTATACAGGTAAGAAAATAAAGATTTTTTCAGTACAGATATAATAGTCCATTGTTTTTGATACTGAGCCGGCCATTTTTTTTTAGGTAAAAAACCGTCTTAACTTTGTCTCTCGCCTTAGGTGAGCCAAGAGGGAATGTCAGACCCTTACTGACTAAAACCCACCTCGTTCCTTCTCCTGTTCTAGGCCGGTATCGCGGTAAATTATTGCGCTTGCCCCTCAACCCCACTGAAGTAGTGAAAATAAAGCTTCATGAAAAACCACACAATTTAGAGTACCCAAACAATAGCTTCTGCATCTGCACTGAAAATATTTTTATTTTCTTACCTACAAACAGAAAAACTTGGCTAATTGTAATTATAATTGTTCAGCAATTAAAGCCATCTGTCACTTAGAGGTCAAAAAAGCATCTTTATTGCACTGTTTCTTTGAGAAAAAGTTGATTTTCATATTTAAACTTTAATATAATAATTGTATAAAAGATTATATTTAATTGCTGCGTTATAATATTACAAATATATACACGTAGAAGGCATATCACGACTAAAATGCTTCGTTGGTTCAATGGTGGTATTTGCGCATATTATGCTTTGGTTTATGAAATTAACTAAATGTAGACAATCTTGGCATGTCTTTTTATATAAAACTTGTCTAAAATATGTATGTAAAAATGTTTACAATCAGCTATTTACCTAAATCGATGTTAGCTAATAAACTGAATTTAAATAATCTTTGTATGTACTTTATACGAGCTCTTTAATATAAAAAGTCATGCCAACATTCTTTACCTTTAGTTAACCACCTAAAAAATTAGACCATATAGTTATCTAGAGGATCATAGGTACAAAATTCAACAGTGATTTGAAATTTAATTAGTCCGACCCAGGAGAAAATCTCAGGGTGGGGCAAAATAAAATAAAGGAACATAAGGAAACCCTCACGGACCAGCAATATGTGGATCACACAAACACAATTGAGACCATGATACGTTACGAAGCAACTGGTTACCTAGCCAATGATAAAAATATTTGCTTAAATTCTGAACCCGACCTCATAATCAACAGAAGCCGACCACCACTAAACAAACAAAACACCAATGAAACTCTTAAACACGAATTGGAATAACATTATTTCAATATATCTTTGTTAAAATCCATAAAAAATACAAAAATTTGGCATCATTTTACAGTCAGTCAATTATTTAAAAAAAAACGTATAAACAAAATAAACTATATACATAATGTCAGAATCAACAGTCAATATATTTTTTTGTAAAAACAATATTCCTTCTGTACCTTTAAAAGAATAGGGGGCATCCATTAATTACGTGAGACGATTAAGGGGGGAAGGGTCTAGTCAAATCTCACCTAATCTTACGTCGGAAAGAGGAGGGTCCCGACATATATCACGCAATTTATTTTCTGATAAAAGGAAAAAAAACAGTATTATTCTATAACATTTACAACTCTCAGCAATTTTGCCCGGGTTGCGGGGTAAGCGCAATGAGGCACCGCGACCTCGACCCAGAGCAGGAGAAGGAACAGGGGGGTTTTTAGTCAGTAAGAGTCTGACACTCCCTACCGCCCGGCCCTGGGCGGGATAAGTCATTTGAAGATTTTCCCCTCACAAAAAAAACTCTCAGCAATATTAACTAGTCATATATAAAGTCAAAAAGCAAACCTTATTTTTTATCGCGTTGCCTTTACGTAAGAAACACTCATTCTGAAAAATCTACTGTGGAATTGGGAGATAAGATTGAACAAAATCTCACGTCACGACAATTCACCAAGAGTAAGGTAAAAAAATATCATCTCAAGTAATTACATGGACACGATACATAAATAAAAAAAATACGACTCGCCCGTTATCAGTGACCGAGTTGGAGATGAATTAACAGCTGTAAACAAAGCGCGTAGCAAGCTTATATTTTATTAAAAAAATGTACGAATACAAGCTTAAATAATTAATATAAATTCATCGTCCATATACATCATTTATTTAGTTATTTGACAAGATACTTGAATTTACTGCCATATTATAAAACAAAGACGCTTTCTCTGTCCCTATATCCTTATGTATGCTTAAATCTTTAAAACTACGCAATGCATTTTGATGCGGTTTTTAATAGATAGAGTGATTGAAGAGGAAGATTTATATGTGTAACAGCATTCATTGAATAGTGGAGAAATTTAGTATCAGCATTGCAGCGGATCAATAGTAGTTAATAAAATATTTCGACGTTACAATGCAATTAAAAATTTAAAAAATAACACTTTTATTCATTGATTTTACGATTCATCGATTTTTTTTATATTTCTAGCTAAGGAAATCGATATTAACACTTAGAAAAATATAATTAAATTTGACTAGCTGTCAATGTACCCAATAATGATTCCTAATTACAATTACTTTAAAGAAAATTCCTAAATAAACTTATGTACTTACGTACGTAAATAAATAACTTTTTTCTTGACTTTTTTATCTTGAAATGGCACAATTTATTGCTGAAATATAAGTGTATTTTGTTTCTTTCGGCGTTATAAAGTTAAAGCGCTATTTATTACATTGGCTGAATAATTATGGGCCCTTACATGGCTTGAACTTCATCGAGTAAGCCGTAAATTATTTATTTTTACACAAAAAATACCAAAAATCATTTTTCTATTCTCAAATGGATGAAATGTATAAAAACTCCATTGTAACTATAACAATAGCACTTAAAATCGAATTGCAAAAAAAATGTTCAACAAATTCATATCAATACAAAATAACCCCATCTCTTGGTGTTACCTATCAAATTTTTCTTCACCGTTTAGTGGTACGACTGTGTCATTGTAGATGGCGTTACTGCGCTCTTGTAGCATCTTTTGCGCTTCGGGCGTAGTCTCCAATGCTTTTTGAGCTGAAAAAGAATGAAAGGTAACATAAAATAACATTAAAAAACTTTTTAAGTTTTCTTGGCCAAATATAAGTGGTTTAGATTTTTCAATGCAAGAAAATATTAAAGTTATAACCTTTTGTTTGAAACTCAGCTTTGTTCGAAACTTGGCAAGTACCAATGTGACTTTTTCCGAGGTTACATGTATTTCTACGATTATTTAGACACCACTGACATACGGTGAAGGAAAACATCGTGAGGAAACTTGGACTTGTAATTTCTAATTATAATTTTGAAACCAATCCGCCTTGAGCAAGCGTGGTGGTTAATGCTTCAACCTTCTCCGTGTGAGAAGATGCCTTTGTTCATAATTGGGCACTTATATAGGCTGATGATGATGATTTTTCTAAGTACATACCTGCTTTCTTATCGCTTCTCGATACAATTGCGAATAGGATCGCGTGAATCGCTGATCCTATGATGGCGGTTACCGCTAGCACCCTGAAGGAGCCCCGGCCGCCAAGCCAACTGTATAGTTGACCCCCTACTAGGGAGCCGATTGCGAAACCTAAAAAAGTACAACAAAATAATCAATGTATAATATTGATTGGTCATAGTCCAGTTAAGTTGCCGTACAGTGCGAGTGGTTCGATTTTCAATTGTGATAGCAGCGGTAAGATCCCTCTTTGAGGAGAGGTTTGAGAGGCGCTACGGTGTCCTCAACTTGTCCCTGATGCAGGGGCTTACCGGGCACGGCAGCTTCAGTAGGTTCCTATTTCGGAACCGGCGGGAGGAAACGCCTGAGTGTCTTCTTTGTGAAGACGGGTGGTCTTCACAATGACGACACCCAGTTGTCGGAAGGTCACGGTGGAGTATACTGTGGCGGTGTGCCCTACTGAGCTGAGCACGGCCGTGTCCTCAGGGAACTGATCGGCAGTGGCGAATCGCTAAATGCTCACAAAGAAGGAGGCTGCGTGCGTGAGGGTACTGTCCTCCTGCCGCCGCAGTAGGCTGATCGATTTCATCGCCTCAAAGAGCCAATAGACCACCGCAGACAAGGCCGTATAGGGCTGATGTTCAGCCGGGGTTGCGAGGCAAGCGCAATGAGGTTACGCAGAGCACGTTATATTAACACGTCAAAATTATATGTTAAAAAATAGATTTAACCGGCATTTCCTGTCTGACAACTGTGAGAAGAAATGCATAAACAAAGTCATACCCCTCATATACCTAACAAACTTGGCTGCACGGTTGGCGCAGTGACTAGGCAACTGGCTGAGTTGCAAGATTTTTTTTTTCAATCGAAATAATAAAAAACACCTCAAAGACCGGTACCGAGCTTGCAATGTCTCTGTTTACCGGATCAGACAATTCTTTAGCTCGCCATCATAAAATGTACTTACCGACTCCATCGTCCATGCCAGCCACGATTCCCTGAACAGTGGCTGAATATCCTTCAGGAGCTACGTGGGCCGCGTAGCCAACTATTGTGGAGTAGCACAGCGCATAGGTAGGCCCTTGCATTATACCCTGTAATGATAACAATTCATCATCATCATCATCAGCCTATAAGTGCCCACTGCTGAGCAAAGGCCTCTTTTCACACGGAGAAATGTTGAGTATTATTCACTACGCTCGCTCAAGATGGATTGGCGATTTCAATATTATAAGTTCAGGCTTTCTCGCTAAAGTATTTCTTCATCATATGGCAGTGTTGTCTAAATAATCATAGAAAGTATATATAACTCGGTATCAGTCATATTGGTACTTGCCACGTTTCCAAACCTCATGTATGAAAGGGTTTTGAACTTAGTGTCATCAATTATGAGCTCAGGTTTCCTAAAGGATAAATGATGGGCGGCACCGATTGTCGGATAAATCAAGGCTTCAACATTAGACTTTTTCCAAAAGTAAATTGCACTATATTGTTTAGTCCATAATTTCTGCCAACCCCCTTCATGTATGAAGGGGATAAATTATTAATTGCTAGTTTGCTAGCAAATAGTATTAATTTATTAATAAGTAGTTTTAGTGACAAATCTATATTGATTAGACAATCTAACAATATAGAGATTAATTGTACATATAATAGCACGAAGGAGGCTCCACATTTAGTTATAAATATGGATAGTACTCCGGATAGTAATCTTTTAAACTGACTTCCACGACAACAGAAGATAACCAATTAAATTACTCAAAAACCCCTATCATTAAAAAGGTTTCTTCTGGCAATATTGTTAAGCATAAACTTAAATTGAAAAATAAAACAGATAACCTGTTGTCATTGTATAGTCAAAATGTTCAGGGCTTAGCATCAAAAATCCTACAAATTGAATTGTTTTTAGAAAAGTTCCAATATGACATTATTTGTATAACTGAACATTGGTTAAAAGATTATCAAGTAGAATCAATTAACTTCAAAAATTATTGTGTTGGCAACTATTATAGCCGCAAAGAAATGATACATGGTGGTAGCTTGATTTTAGTAAAGAATTCAATAAAATATAAAGAAAGGCAAGACATTGCACTGCTATCAATTGAGCACTCAATAGAGTTGTCCTGTGTTGAACTGGATAGGCATATTGTAGTATGTGTTTATAGGCCTCCTAACATACAGAATTTAAATATATTTTGCTCAGTAATGGAAGATGTATTACAGAAAACGTGTTCTAGTAATAAGTATACAATAGTATGTGGCGATTTTAATGTTGATCTCTTAGAAAACAACTCTTATTGTACAAACTTATTAGGTCTTTTTAAATCTTTTGATCTGTCTAATATATTCCTTGAGCCTACCCGAGTAACATCCACCTCGGCAACTTGTATAGATAATATTTTTTGTAACTGTGATTATTTACATAATGAAATTGTAAACAGATTACCATCTGATCACAGTGGGCTAACAGTCAACTTTAATACTTTTAAAACTGTGGCAACTAAGGAAATTATATTCAGACAGATAACAAACAAAAAAATTGAGTCATTAAATAAAAATTTAAAACATAAATTATGCAGCCCATTACAAGACAATGAATGCCCGAGTGAGATCTATGCTAACTTATTATCCATCATAAAAATACAGTTCGACAAAATGTTCCCTTTAAAACGTAAAAATATCCAGTGTAAATTTTTATTCTGTGACTGGGCTACACCAGGCATTCGTATAAGTAGAGAAAAGTTATTTGAGCTATATGGCATGAAACCATTTAATGAAAGTGAGGCTTTTCGTAGGCATGTCTCCAAATATTCAAAAATATTTAAATTAGTTTGTAAGCATGCTAAATCACTCTATATTAGCAGTAAAATCCGGACCGCGGAAAATAAAATAAAAGCTACCTGGAGTATAATTAATAATGAAACAGGTAGAAACAAATCTAATAAGACAGAATTTAATTTAAAAACCGAAAAGGGATTTACTAGTACAAATTCATTAGTTGCCCAGGAATTCGAAAATTTCTTTAAAAATATTCCCATCAAAACTACGGAAACGTTGCAATCATCTCCAGCACTTGCGGTCGAGCTTCTCAGAAGTAACGTCAAAGAATGTCCTGCGGACTTTAGGTTTAAACATACAAACCCCCAGGAAGTAATAAAGGCGTTTAAAGATATCAAAGTAAAGTCAAGTGAAGATCTCTGGGGAATGTCTGTTAGAGTGTGCAGGTCTTTTATAGAGACTATAGCGCCTTACTTAACTTTAATTTTTAATAAAAGTGTAGATCAAGGGGTTTTCCCGGATTTAATGAAACATAGTAAAGTAGTTCCATTACTTAAATCAGGTGATAGCACAGAACGCAATAACTATAGGCCGGTCTCTATTTTGCCAGTGCTCAGTAAAGTGTTTGAAAAGTTGATACTTACTCAAATACTGCGTCACTTTAACGCGAATTCTATTTTCCATGACCAACAATACGGGTTCACTAAGGGACGTTGCACTACGGACGCAGGAGTATCGCTTATAAAACAAGTTTTCAAATCGTGGGAAAAAGCACAGGATGCCATCGGAATATTTTGCGATCTTTCGAAGGCTTTTGACTGTGTTGAGCACGAAACGCTATTACTGAAGCTGCAACACTACGGCATTCGGGGGGTATCCCTAAATTTATTAAAATCATACCTTCTAGAAAGACTTCTTACAGTACAAGTAAACAGAGTAAACTCCCAGGGTGCTAGCGTATCTATGGGCGTACCGCAGGGCTCAATATTGGGTCCATTCCTATTTTTGGTTTATGTCAATGACCTGCCCCATTTATTCCAAAGTGAACCGCATATGGTATTATTCGCTGATGACACATCCTTGATTTTTAAATTAAATAGACGATCAAATAACTATGACGAAGTGAATAATGCCTTAACGAAAGTTCATAATTGGTTCACAAAAAACAACTTAGTACTTAATGATAAAAAGACGAAATGTATTAGATTTATTTTGCCAAATGTTAAAAGTAACGTATGCGATGATATATTATTAAATGGTCAGAAACTGGAATTTGTAAAGGAGACCACATTCTTGGGGATTACTGTAGACGACAAGCTGCAATGGGGGCCCCACATTAGATCTTTAGCAGGGCGGTTGAGCTCGGCAGCTTATGCTGTCTGGAAGATCCGTCAGCTAACCGACGTAGGCACGGCACGACTAGTGTACTTTAGCTACTTTCACAGCATCATGTCGTATGGAATTCTGTTGTGGGGACAGGCATCCGACGTTGAGTCTATCTTTATCTTACAAAAGCGTGCAGTCAGAGCTATCTATAACTTAGGTCGTCGCGAATCTCTCAGAGAAAAGTTTAAGGAGATCAACATTATGACCGTACCATGTCAATATATTTATGAAAACATTATGTATGTTAGGAAAAACCTACAGCTATTTGTAAAAGTATCTGACAAGCATGACTATCTTACTAGACATAGAAATAGATTAAGTCAGCCTTTATTTAGATTAGCAAAAGTGCATAAGTCGTTCATGGGATTATGTGTTAAATGTTATAATAAAATCCCAACTGAAATACAAAATCTTAATGAAAGTAAATTTAAATTATGTATAAAGAAAGTATTATGTAGGAAAGCATACTACAAACTAAATGATTATATAGAAGATAAAAATGCTTGGAGGGTGGCTGGTTTGACTGCACAGGATAAAAATTGTTAAGGTTAAGAGGAATTTTGATCTCAATTATTCAATTATTCACCATGTTGTTGATTGTTGATAAACTGGATTTTTGTAAATGTGAGAGCCCTGTAACTTATTATAATTGAGTTAGACTTATAGACTTATAGTATATTGGTACTTGTGTCAGTTGGGAGTTGTCATGCTCACTCAGGAGTCTCATTGGCGGTGGCACGGGCACTGGACCGCTCGGTTCCCTATAATATGGTTGAGTTGGGCGGTGCTGGTGTACGTGTCATGTTCGTGAACGGACGCCGCCTATTGGGACTGGTCAACTCGAGACTGTCTAAAGTTGCTGTCCCTGAGGGTTATTTCTTTTTCGGATACTTTGGTTAAACACCTAGTGTTACACTGTTCTCACATAATGGAGCTATCTAAATTATGTAACAATGTATTGTAAAAAGTGATTGAAAAAGAGTAACCATGGAGTTTCTTGCTCGTTCTTCTCCATAGGAATCTACACTTTGGAACGAGCAAATAGCTTCACTAGAGGACAGACGGACAGACTGACACATAAAGTTAAACCTTATGATATCTTTTTTGCTTGACGTTCAAAAGTGCCTTTTTTGGTCTATTTGAAATAAAGAATTTGATTTGATTTGATTTGATTTGATTTGAAGGTATTTTAACATTGTGAATTTTTCCAAATTATATGTATGTACTTTTTATGAATATTTAGACACCATTGACATACGGTGAAGGTAAACATCGCGAGGAAACCTGGACTTATAAGTTAGCAATCACCAATCCGCCTAACGCAAGCGTTATGCACATACTTTTAAAATTTTAAAGTCTTTGCTCAGCAGTGCGCACTTTTAGGATTGTGATAATAATGTACGAGTATGTGAGCATAAAGCTTAAATAAACTAATAAATATATATCTCAATCCATTATCTCTCTCTACCAAACTCAAGGTTATAATGCAAAACTTACCTCAACAAACACAAGATGCCACGGGTTCTGTATGAGAGATATACAGATCATTCTGATCCCGTAGCAGAAGAGAGAGAACGTCAAAGTCGTGCCGTATCCAAACCGCTTTATTATTTTACCTAAAACAAATAAATCACTATACATATAGTAAGTGTGCGAGAGTCATGCTTCGGCACGAATGGGTCGACTCGACCTGAGTGATACCACGGCCTCACAGAAAACCGGCGTGAAGCAACACTTACATTGTGTTTCCCCGTGTGAATGAGGTTACCGGAGGCCTAATTCCCCCTCTCCCTATCTCCAACCCTCAAATCCCCTATTCTAAATCCTTAATTACGTACACGAGGCCGGCAACGCACTTCCAGTAACTCCTTTGGTACTGCCTGCGAGTGTCCATGGGCGGCGCTGATTGCTTACCTTCATCAGGTAATCTGTCTGCTCGTTTGCCGACGTATGATTTAAAAAAAAAACCTTCCTCATCAATCACTCTACGTATTAAAAAAATTGCATCACAATCAGATGTGCAGTTTTAAAATTTGAAGCATATATAGGTATATAGATATACATATAAATATTGTTTTATTAGTAACTTACCGGAAAAGAAGAAAAACAGTAGTTCTCCGATAAAACTCTCCGCGGCGACCACAACTCCTTCTATTAATTTAATCTTAGCAGTGTGACCTGTCTTCTCTGCTAGTTCCTCTAAAAACCTAAAATAGAATACATATTAATAAACTACACAATATTATACACGCACATTCAGAACAATTAGTTTGTCATATAGCGACATCTATTGGTGTAGTGCTCTAAGTATTTTTGATGTCTGGCGATAGATGTCGCTGTAATAAAAAAAATGATTTCGTGCTTTGTTTTGCAGAAATACCTTTAACTTAACTAGTTGGTTTAGCTCCGAAGGTGACCTTAATTTAAAATTCCTGTTTCTACATATTAATAAGAGTTTTTAGTGAATTTCCGGATAATTCTCAGATGTGTTCAGTGAATTAAAAAGTATGATATTAAGTGTTCAAAAAATCTTACCAAAACATATAATATATGATAAAACTGTCGAATGTTCCCGCTACGACGGCGAAAGTTATAAAAACTATTACTTTCGGTATTTTCAATACATCACGCAACGCCTTGCCGGAATCGTCGGGACTTGATAGAGAGGGCAGCTGGAATATCAACGTCAAACGTCAAAGATCAAAGTCAAACAGATATTATGAAGTATCAAAGGTTAGAGATCAAAATTAAAGGTAAGTATTTTGTTAGAAAATAAAGGAAAGCAATGTGCAAAATAATTGTTTTCTTTACGCCATTTTATGAGGCAATTTTAATCTCCGGTCGAGACGGTCTACTCCTCCATCCAATGGATGTTATTATACATATAAGTTTCAAGTGTGGGAGAGCCAAGCTTCAGCACGAATGGGTCGCCTCAACCGGAGTGATACTGCGGCCTCACTGAAAACCGGCGTCAAATAACCACAGCGTTGTGTTTCGCCGAGTGCATGAGGTTACCGGAGGCCCAATCCTTTCACTCCACCAATCCCTAAATCTCCAAGTTTCTGTCCCCCAACAGGTTGAAGATTATATAAACCTTCTTCTTTAATCACTACCAAAAAAAAAAAAACGCATCAAAAACAGTTGCGTAGTTTTAAAGATTTAAGCATACATAGGGATATAGGGACAGTGAAAGCGACTTTGTTTTATACTATGTAGTGATGTACTCACAGTCAAAGCTCGACAGCTGTACAAATCTATGGCGGTCGCTATCAACGCCACAACGAATGCTGGTGTGAAGTCTTTGTAGTCTTTTCCTCCAGAGACGCTATCGATCAACCATCCACCCAATAGCGCTGTCAAACCATAACCAGCGGTACCCCAAGCTCTTTGGGCCCCGTATTTCGAGCCTCGATCCGGCCCTGGAAAAAAAATAGGTTATTTCATTTAGTAAAACTTAGAAGCATATCGTTTTTTTTAATGTGATAGGACAACAAACTAGCAGACGAATTACCTGATGGTAAGCAATCAGCGCCGCCCATGGACACTCGCAACAACGGAAGAGTTACGAGTGCGGTGACGACCATTTATTTATTTTTACTTACTAGCGGCCCGCCCCCGCTTCGCTAGGGTCCAACTATCTCGCTATCAAAGTGTCACTTTTCTGATCTTCCCCTCTACTATTTTCTTTCTAATATTTTCTTTGCTAAGAACCTTCTCCTTTTTTTTTGTGAGGGAAAAATCATCAAATGGCTTCTCCCGCCCAGGCGGGAGGCGGGAGGGTGTGTCAGACTCTTACTGACTAAAAACCCCCTGTTCCTACTCCTGCTCTAGGCCGAGGTCGCGGTGCCTCATTGCGTTGACCCCGCAACCCCGGCTGATGAGCCTACCTTAGGCTCACAGCTTATGTATTCAAAGTAGTTAGAAGTATTCGTTATAGATTAGCTAGTTACGAGCTAACCAACATTCTTAAAATTATGCGTGTGTACAGACAATATATATGGAAATCATAACCAGAACTAATCAAATTAACATAGGACAACAGTATCTATTTATCATAGTAAAATAACATCGCTAACAGTGCACTCTAAATCTAATAACCTTTTGGGGTTGAGGATACCACGATTTCACAGAAAATCGGCGTGGAACAACGCTTCCGTTGTGTACCACTATTGCAAGTGAGGAGACAGGATGCCTTAACTTTTCTCCATCCCCAAATCGCCAATCCTCAATTCCGTAGCCCCCCAAACGACCGGCAACGCAAGGGTAACCCTTATGTGTTACACGTGCTTAACATCATAAGGATGTGTATGGGTATTGCCGATTGCTTACCATCAGTGTCGTTTGCCAACTTACAACAATATTTTTTAGTATTAAACTTAAAAAAAAAAACATAAAAACTACGTTATGAAAATTACAGTATTGGCATGTCTTTTTATCTAAAAATTCTGTGCGGGAATCGAGCTTGCCACACCAGTTGCCCAATCGGTGGAAAGTGGGTAGTTATATTTTATATTTGCCTCTGCGTATCCCTTCGGAGATTTATATATAGGTAAAGGCTATATGGTGTGTTAAGCAAAACTTACCAAGAACATCAAAGCAGACAGCGTCACCGATACAATTGGCAACATTAAACGCAACTGTACCGACACACATCAAAATAACAAACGCCCAGAAAGCAGCTGTCATATAGAAATTATCACTTTTCTTCTCATCTGTATTTGAAGTAATATTTCTATTTAAATCTTCAACACTTCGCTTCGTCTTATTCCCACCAATATCGCTCTCATTTTCATAGCAAAGCAAATTACAATCCTCCTTAGGTAAACACATAACGTCGCCGTTATGTAAATCATCGAATTCCATAAACAAAACAGAGCAGGACGCATTAGAAACTTCATCGTCAATATAGACTGTGTTTACAAATGGCGTATCTGACAGGTAAACGTCAAAGTTTCCCGCCAAACTGCAGTTCCAGTGACACTTGTATTTTTCCAATAAAGTATTGTTTTTATTTGTGTTTTGTTTTAAAAATATAGTTTCGTTCAATCTGTATACGGATTCTAATAGTTTGGTGTCGGCCATCTTTGGTTCGGGCATCGGTAAGAACCATAGGCAACAGTATGATCCAGTCATTATTGTTATAAGTAGCATGAATACTAGTTTTCTGTGTGCCTGAAAGTAGAAAATATTAATGAAACTTGGGTTCAAATCCGTCAACCAAAAGGACACATATAGGGAATACAAATTATTATCACTTTTAACTGTACCTACTAGATCGTTTTAAAATCATGTAAATTTCAATCGATATAAAAGTATAGAAAAGTCTTTTTATTATTGTACACACACTAGACTTTACTACTTCGTCGTGTGTGCGTTTACAAACATACAATTTCACATAGGTGTCAACAACAACTAGTCAAATTCAATACTTTTATCCAATTGTCAATAACGATACTTTTCTATGAAATTGTGCAAATGCACATGTTTACTATTTTTTTTTAAATTAGCTAAATATATCCGAATCTTTAGTGTGTAGACAGATCGATGAACAAAAGTATAGTTATTTTTCAATATTTTACTGTAAGTATTGAAACGTCGAATCAATTTATTTTTGACCTAGGAAACTAACCAATATGTGGATCAGACAAGGAGTTCCGTGCGAGAATAAAAACCGTGACATAATAATGGCAACTGGTTGCCCAACCAACGTCAACTGTGCAATCAAATTTAACACAGAAAAAAAAATCTGAAGTGGCCTGGTCAAAAAATTCCAATAACAAAAACTTTTTTTTTTACTATAACTTTTATGAGACGTCTTAAATCAATTATTATGTGTTCGGATTTCTCACGTAATTGTTTTGACGAGATACTTGACTAGTTTTAAGTTTCAAGCCATGCTTGATACCCATATTCATGAGCAGCATTCCGCGACACGCGACGCGGCGACTGTCGCGCTGCTACTCGAGTCTAATCGATCAATCTGTCGAGTGAAACTAGTCAAGTACCTATCCCGTCAAAACAATTACGTGAGTAATCCGAAAACATAATACCTACCTACTAAAATAAAAACTTACCGGCCAAAAATCGACAATATATCCGAACAAAGGTTTAGCAGCTGCCCACAGGAGTGGCAGGACGGCTGTCACCATGCCCATGACAGAGGGGGACACCCCCAACTGTCTCCCGAAGACATTGATCTGCGGCAGTATAGGACCTAACGCTGCGGACAAGAGAGAAATATATTTAATAACCATTGCATTACCACAATAGGTGCGTGACATTTGACTGACTTTGTATTTATTCTTTACTTTTAATTAACTGTAAGTAAGTTTGTAAGTTTGTATGTTTTTAAGTTTGTAAGTTTGTGTGTAAGGGTAATCTTTGGAACCACTGGTCGGATTCCCAAATTTCTTTCACTTATTAATTGCTACAATATGCCCGAGTGCACTAAAAGTGACTATAAAAAAGTGGCTATAAAACATCACGCTACAATCAAATGGCGTCGAACAGCGAGTGAAACCACGCGGGAGTAGCTAGTTTTTAATAAACTTAGGGCTGATTGCTGATCACTAGATTATTCCTCTGTTCGTTTGCTGAACTATGACATGAAAAAAATCCAGACTATAGAGTATCTCTGTGCCTGGCGCTAAAACAGACATCAGACCACCACAGATATGGTCCAACAGATTTGATGTTAAGCCGGGGTTGCCGGTCAAACACATTAATGTACGTACCGAACCTTGGCTTGGATCAGAATGTTATAAAAACTACATCATTTTTCAGCAATCATTGAAAAGCGCTAGAATTGATTATAAACGCTTTAGTTTTCATTAGCCAGGTTTATTTTTAGAAGCGCATTGATTGTACGAATGCACGTTGCACGTTGGACAATGCCAATATATTACGATTCTACAGGGCCGAACTGGGAACTTTTGGGGCCCCTGTGTAAATATGGATGGGCCCATCTAAGTAATCATTGTTAATAACTTAACAATGATTTTTTTAAGTCCATATTTGACCAGGGCTTTTTCAGTCCGTTTAAATTTGACTTGATTGCACAGTTGACTCGGTGGCTACGCAACCAGTTGCCACGCAAGTCACGCAACGTCTCGCGGTTTTAGATTCCTGTAAGTACATAACAACTCTTTGTGTGATCCATAAATTGTTGTTACGGGTCTGTATGTAAAAATTTACGTTTATAAACGCGCGTAAGACACAGGTGAAAATCTTAGTGTATAAGTAATAAGGTTTATGTAAAAACAAAAATAACAAAATCATTCAAACTAAATCCGGCCCTGTTCTTGAGTCACAGCGTAATATTATGATCGTTGAAATCAATTTATGTACATATTTTGCAGCGCATGTATTCATATTGTTATCTTAAGTATTTATTTATATACACATGTAAACATGCATATCTATACTTCTATACTAATATTATAAAGAGGTAAAATTTGTAAGTTTGTATGTAGGGGGTAAAGTTTGGAACCGCTGGTCGGATTGCCTAAATTCTTTCACTGATAGATAGCTACAATGTTCCTGAGTGCTATATGCTATAAAACATCACGCAACGATCAAATGGAGCCATGCAGCGGGCGAGAGTAGCTAGTGCATGTTATAATGATACCTAACCCTATATTTGTTTACTCATTTAAGTATAATTAATTTAACTGCTTCGACGTTAATGTCGCAAATATTACTCGTGTAATCTGAAAATATAGTGATTATTAGTGATTAAAGCCTGCGACTCCGTTTACGTGGAATAGTGACTTCCTGCAGATTTTTGGTATAAAAACTATCCTATGTCCTTTCTCGAGTTCCAAACTATGTCTGTACCAAATTTCACACAAATAGGTTCAGTAGTTTAGGCGTGAAGAAAAGACAGACAGACAGAGTTACTTTCGTATAATATATAATATTGGTTTGGATTTTGCAGCGCATGTATTAATATTGTTATTTATAGTAACATAACGCTGTGGTTGTTTCACGCCGGTTTTCTGTGAGGCCGTGGTATCACTCCGGTCGAGCCGACCCATTCGTGCCGAAGCATGGCTCATCCACAGATCACATTGCGTCTCAAACATCATAAAAAATCCAATAATTCTCTCTATGACTTGAAGAATTGCTTTCAGGATCTCTTGCTTGGTAGTTGCACTCGCAGCGGAGCGTATAAAACAATAAAGTTTTGATATTACCTAGTTCAAAAGTCACGAAACATTTAACTCCGCTCTTTTCTTTTCCAGTTCATAAATAAAACTGAGATATTTATAATATCACTACATAGTATAAAACAAAGTCGCTTTCTCTGTCCCTATATCCCTTTGCACGCTTAAATCTTTAAAAATACGCAACGGAATTTGATGCGGTTTGTAATAGATAGAGTGATTGAAGAGGAATGTTTGTATGTATAATAACATCCATTAAATAGTGCAGTATCAGTATGGCAACCGAGCGAAGCCGGGATGGATCCCTAGTTTACTATAAACGTATTCTATCAACTAACCGGTTTAACTACAACTAGTTAAACACTTACGGGCCAACTAACTGTAATTATATCATTACTTATAGACACATTCAACATTTAAAAAGCAAATGAAAAAAACTAGTCAGGCTGGTCAATTAAACCCACCAGCAGCCTATAAATGCCCACTACTGAGCAAAGAACTCTTCTCACGAAGCAGGTCTCTTGCTCGTTCTTCTCCATAGGAATCTACACTTTGGAACGAGCAAATAGCTTCACTAGAGGACTGACCGACAGACTGACACTATATCTTCAGTTTGACGTTCAAAAGTGCGTGTAGGGGTCTAATTGGAATAAATGATTTTTGACTATGACTGGACTTAAAGGGTTTGAGCATTTACCACGCTTGCTAAAGGCGGATTGGCGATTTCAAACTTATACTTAGAAATTCCAAGTCCAGGTTTCACCGTGTGTCAGTGGTGTCAAATAATCATAGAAAGTACATATAACTCGGAATAAGTTACATTGGTACTTGCTAGGTTTCGCGCCCTCATGCATGAGACGCGCCTTAACCTCCGGGCTGCCACGACTCATCGACACTGTCAATTGAACTAGGTGACTTCAATTCTTAACGAAGGCAAAACAATACTTTTGCAGGACATGCTTTTCTGATAGCTGTGGTAAGACCCCTCTTTGAGAAGTAGCTGGTGAGACGCCATGGCCTGACGTACGTGCTTGACAAGCACATTAGCTTTGACAGGTTCCTGTTTCGGATCCAGCGGGGGGAAACTCCCGAATGTTGTCCATCATGTCGTCACCATGTCGACCACCCTGAGGATACGGTGGAGCATCGCTGTATTTTTTTTTTTACTTGCAATAAACTAGTGCTTGACTGCGATCCCACCTGATGTTAAGCAGTGATGCAATCGTTGATGGTAAGGCGCACTAGTTTATTAAGCCTTTGACTGCCGACAGAAAAGTGTTGAAGGCGAATCCTCCGCTAACGGGGGTCACCGGTGACCCCCATGGCGTTTAACGTCTTAAGAGCCTATTCACTCTAGCCTTGAAGTAGCCTTTTAGTATCCTCAAATAAGTGATCCGCATTGGCGTACTCTTGCGCCCGGCCTTTGATAAGGCCATGGTGCGGATCGAGAGGAACTGGGAAGCCGATTCCTGTTTCTGCACGGCAGTGATGCTTGCAAAGGAGGAGGCGGAGCGCGGGAAGGAACTATACTCTTCATGTCTCAGCTGCCGGTCAATGAGCAAGGGTAGCCCGCCTTCACTGCCACTCAGCCTTTTCCTGCACCGAGCCAGGCCATGGTACGCACACATACATAAATCTAATGTACTTTTCCTGAACAAACTCAAGTGTTATTTTAAAAGTAAGTTTTCTTTTTAAAGTGACTTTGGACCAGCCCTGTAACAGCACATCTTTGGGCTTGCATGACAATGCTCTGGTGGCTTTTTAAACCTTACATATGATCGGGATATCGGAGAGTCGCGGTTAGGGTGCCCGGAGATCGTCCCATGACCTACCGATCCTCACACCCAGCCAGAATATCCTATTCTATAAAATCTCACTTAATACAGACAACAAACATAATGCTAAAACCTCAGAAATCTTAACAATATTGCCTAATTAGTAAGATTTCTGTGGCTTAAACAGTTTAAGAATAACCGCCATGTTTGCATTGCAAGCCACGACAAAATGGCGGGCGGTAAAACTTATTACATGTTTACGATAATATACATCTAAGCTACATCTTAAATTTACGATATTTTTAGACTTATATTATCATCCGTTTATAGCTAATTCTCTCGCAAGGTTAAGCATTCATAAAAGGAAAATCATCTTGCGACTTCCTTAGCCATTTATGACTGGAATTTGAAATACTGCAAGGAAAAATCTGTCGTAGAGCAGACTAGTGGCCATTTCTTTTTCTTAAAACTTTATCATCGCACCTAGCCATGGTCCGTAGCGAGAGGAACTGGGAATGTGGTATCACTTAGGTCGAGCCGACCAATTCGTCCTGAAGCTTGGCTCCCAAATTTACTATTTTTTTGTCAGAACCTAATCAAGGCGGGTAAAGTAAAAAACCGCTTACATATCAGTTACTAGCTTCCAGCCGCGACTTCGCCCGCATGCTATGTTGATAAAAAGTAGCCTATACCCTATTCCGGAGTGTATCCTATGCCTGTGGCAAATTTCATCCAGATCCGTTCAGGGGTTTTGGAGTGATTGAGTAACAAACATCCAAACATCGTAACTTTCGCATTTATAATATTAATAAGATTGTGACTGCTAAGACTTGATTCCGCCATCCCAATTTCACCTTCGGACATCCCGGCGTACGGCATATATCCACCCTTACGTTGTTGAGACACCTGCGGCCCGGACTAAGCGTTTTGCCTCGTCATTTATACCGCGTACATCGAGGGATTGGAACAGTTTGCCGGCTGCAGTCTTTCCGTCCGAATACAATTTAGGTGTCTTCAAGGCTAGAGTGAATAGGCTCTTAATAAACTAGGGCGCCTTACCATCAACGATTGCATCACTGCTTACCATCAGGACCCTAACCCAGTTAAGTAAGACCTGATGAAAGAGATATGAAAGATACAACTATTAATTGCTTAACAACAGGCTTTATAAATACACCAGTTTGTTATCAGGGCAATTAAGATTACTGTGCCCTTATCAGATACTATAGTGTCTGCTGTTAACTTTATCATAGGGACTATAAAATAATTGTTTAGTTAGA